GACCTTGGGTTTCGTGAAAGGCGCTATATAAATATTATTTATTATTATTATTATTATTATTAGAGGTTTATGTTTTTTTTTCTATAACCTTGAGTTTTGTCTTAGATCTCCCAAAAGTACTTTGCAGCACTTAGTGCCCAGCACTTAGTGCCCCCATGGAACTAAGTACAGATCACGTTCAAGTTCCCTGAGGTAAGATTGAAATGAAGCCGCTGACATCACTTCTTCTTCTTCTGCTTTGGGTTTACTGGCAGGCCGTTGTCACTACCCGATCTGTAGTGCGCATGTGCGAGATGGTCCGCCATATTGGACAACTCCGTACGGCAACCCAAGTAGGACACTTGACACAGTGGCTTTTGGCAAAGCTCAAAAGAAAACTCGAGAGAGATGAGATATTGTTATTACAACGTGACTTCAACAACTCTTTTTATTGGGTTCTTTTATTTGGGGTTAAGTACATTGTCAGAATAAGTCAGATATGGACTTAACTTCTGACAGACAGCTATCATACTGAATAAATATTTACTGTGACTATGCAAAAATGTATGGCATATAGCTGTCTAACAGAAGTTAAATCCATTTCTGACTTATTCTGACAATGTACTTAACCCCAAATAAAAGAACCCAATAAAAAGAGTTGTTAAATAATAGTGAAGTCAAGTTGTAATAACAATAACTCATCTCTCTCTCGTTTCGTTTTGTGTTTTGCCAAAAGCCACTGTGTCAAGTGTCCTATTAGAGTTGCCGTATGTAGTTGTCAAATATGGCGGACCATCTCGCACATGCGCACTGCAGATCGGGAAGGGCTGCAGATTGGGTAGTGACAAAAGGGGGGGGGGGGGGTTACCTTGGTTGGTGATTGGCTAATGGTTACACAAGCCAAACAAATCGTATCATAATCATAAAGTGGCCAAAATCTGATCAGCTCATTTACAGACAGGTTTTTATATAAATGGATCAGGACAAAAAGAGAGAGAATCTCTTCACACAGAGGGGACACATGTTTATGTATAAAAGACATGAACAAGTGGATTTTGCATAATAGGTGACCTTTAACGTAAATAGCAGACTTGCCCTACGTGTGTGTTACTGGAGTTTAAAGGCTTTGCTGTCTGCAGGGCTCTCCTTCTTGGAGCGCATGATGAAAGATTGCTCTCCCTACCAGAAGGTCGAAGACGAGTACGACAATCGCTTTGTCACCAAACTGCTGAAAAACTACAGGTGTGGTACAAGACATGGATATAACTCACACCTCGACAGACATGTTATGCTTGATATCGATTCATTTATCACGGTTGGTCCTTTTCAGGTCCCATCCTGCCATTCTGGAGGTTCCCAACGAGCTCTTCTATGAGGGAGAGCTGCTGTATTGCGCAGATGAAATGCTACGCAACTGTTACTGCGGATGGGAATACCTCAAGAATAAGGTAATGCTTCATCTTTTAGCACGTACACACACTGGACAGACGGTGTCAATAAGAGTACAAAGCAATATGCCTGCACCTTAAGACTTCATTGTGTCATTCAATATATAACAGAGCCATTTATTATCATTCTAGAGCTGAAGATATTTGTTTATCCAAGGACATTTTAAACATTTTGTGGTGTAAGGATTTGCTTATTTTCTCAGTTAAATATTGTATATAGAATTCATTAGATTATGATGTTTATTATATATGATCACACTTGATTGGTATGCACATGCACTATATTTTTTTTCTTGCAGTTTAGTCCACTTCACAACAACTCAGTATTTAATGGAAAGTTTTCCCAAACCATTTTATTAACCCCCTTTAAATAAAAAATACCTCCCAGAACTTCCCGGTGCTGTTCCACGGTGTGACCGGTGTTGATGAGCAGGAGGGCAACAGCCCTTCATTCTTCAATGTAGCAGAGGTGGAGGTGCTGATGGAATATGTGAGGAAGCTGATGCAGACGCAGGGCAAGAAGGGCCTGGCCACCATCTCCCCCCGTGACATCGGCATCATCGCCCCCTACAGGAAACAGGTCAGAATGAACACACATTGAATAAAATATACAATGTAGCTTATTGTTGCATTACTGCAGTCCAAGTACAAGTTGAAGTACAACAATTATTATTATTATTTGTGGATTAAAAGCAAGAGCTGTTTTATCTTGATGTCGCAGGTGCAGAAAATCCGCAGGGCCCTGGAAAAAGTTGCGAAAGAGCTTAAAATAGACACTATGACATATCTAAAGGTAACAATATTTTTCACACTTCAGTAAAGCAAATCGAACAGAATCAGTGTCTTTAGTGCGTTTACATTTCTTGTGTGTCAGGTCGGTTCGGTGGAGGAGTTCCAAGGCCAGGAGAGGAGAGTGATCCTGGTGTCTACGGTGCGGAGCAGCCCCGATTACGCAGAGGTGGACAAGAAGTTCAACCTCGGCTTTGTGAAGAATGAGAAGGTATGAAACACCAACACATGCACCGTCGTGTATATACACACAAAACATGATTTTGACACATGCAGCTCTCTCTTCCAGAGATTCAACGTGGCTGTGACTCGAGCCAAAGCCCTGCTGATCGTGGTGGGAAACCCCAGAGTGCTGGACGCCGATGCTACCTGGGCCCGGTATTTGTCGCCAATATCAGAATATTTACATGATATTTTAAGTGTATTCACATTTTATTTATATGTCAATGTAATCATCAATACATGAAGACAGATACAGCGCGAGTTGCCTGGCTGACTGGTTTCTGCTTCAATTAAAAATGATATATATTTACATTTTAATTTGAGAGCAATCCCTGATAAGATCCTTTTCTCCCTCCCTGCTCGTCTGCAGGTTCATAAAGTACTGTCGAGATGAAGGAGGCTACACCGGCTATGAGCACATGGAGGAAGACGATGATGTGGTGCTCAGACTCTCTGCCCTCTGCATCGACATTGGTATTCAAGGTAACTTGCAGATTTTTGAATTTTCATTAATATCTTATAATACACTTTCAATTTGTTTTTTATTGACGTCAAAACTGTCCACCTCTCTTTGTTTCTGTGAATCTTTTCTCCCCAGTGGAGACAGAAGAGAGCGCTGTTCAGCAGCTTCTGGACCCCGAGTGGAGGAGCGACCTGTGAGGGAGAGGAGAGCACAAACCTCCCTCCTGATACATTTGGGTTGCAAATGACAACATGTGCCTTTAATCCCTTGAAGAAATTGAGCTTGATTGAATCTTTCTAAAAAATCTCAGTTTTTATTGGTTTATGTAAACTTTATGAACTCGACCAAATGTGAGAAAGGAGCAGCTGATAAATGTTAAGAGTGGACCAATTGTCTAAGCTACCTCGGTGGAATGCGCTCATTCCACTTAACTTGAAACAGCTTGTAACACAGGTTCACAACAAATTATTTGGAGACTTAATTTGTTAGTTTTAAATGTATTGAGATGAAAATATTGGAAAATATTATTTTTATTGACTGAGTCTCAGAGTTGTAATTGTTTTTACTTTTCTCAATCATCACTGCTTTTAGAATAATGATTACGTGTTTAATCTATTTAGATTTACACAATACTGCCTTTAAACATTTTTCTAACCAAATTTAAAATGTTAATGGTCATTTTTGAAGTTTTCTTATGTAATCCAAACAAAAGTAATTATGCTATTCAGAAAGTTATACAAACCATGCTGGAACATGAATGTAAATGAATTTATAAAAAGATAAAAAACTTTGAAAGATTTTGTGTCAGCCATTTTGTACAAATATTTAAAAAGAAATGCAAGCAAAACCAAACTAGTTAAGATTACGCAGTATTTCAAAAATACTTTAATAACATTCAACACATCCCACTCCTGTTTGTAAAGCGTCATCACAATCAACATTTTATCGTGGACTATGACGTGTGATATTACAGACGTAGAGGCACTGTCCAGAAGTGAGCCAAACCCGTAACATTCTGATCTCCATGGAGCTTGGAGCTGAATGTACTGGATGAAAAGATCACCACGGATGTTGCTTATGATTTTGGTAAGATCAATGAAGGGACTAGAAAATATGCTTAAGTGTCAGTGGCATGAAATAGAACCACTGGCTATGCACTCAGCTATCCAATCACATTTCAAGGATCGTCCCTTGTGTGTAGTGTCAAATAAAGGCCTGTTACACAACAAAGCCCCAGTTTTAAATAGTCATGGGTGCTAATGATCTGTGAGCCAAACCAAGGACATGGCACATAGGTAAAAACAACATTTTATCTGTCATCAAGCTATCATTTAGACATTTGTGTACACATAATATGCCTATAATCTGTCTGAATATTAATCTGTAAGTGTATCTAAACCTGCAGATTGAGTACACAGCGATATGGACTGTGTATTGTGTCCATGACAATACACCACTGTTTTCAGTGCCGGCTTATGCCATCGCCATGGAGGACAGACGGAGCAAGGTGCTGTCCAAAACCTCTCTGCACAAATAGTAACTGCTGCTTCAGTTTATGTAGGTTTCAGTGATTAATGCAGAGTGAACAGGCTCTAAATGTAGTCCTTAATGTCAGGAGAGAAAGGCTGGGGGAAATGGAGGTCTGCTGATTTAGCACTTGGTGAAATAAGGGTGTAGAATGAATAGGTGGGACATTAATGAGACTAAGGAGAAGTAGGGGTTCCATAATGTTAAAGAAAATAAAAATAAATGCTATTTAGTGGAGATGTGACTCACAAAACCTTCTTTGTAAACAACCATAACACAGGCATGATATATTTGTAAAGTATATTCACATAGAAATACAAACATACATTCATATAGGAGGAAGGGACAGGTTGTTCACACAAAGGGGCTGCTGGAGGAAAACAAAAGAACAAACAAACAAGTGTGTGAGTAGCAGAGGAAAAGTTTAGAAAAAAAGGCTGATTTGTTTTGCTTTTAAAAACGGGTGTGTCAGTCCTTCATATTATCCTGTGGCATATATTGTGAAGTAAGTATAGTCCACGGAAGCCATTGATTTAGGGTTTCTCTAAGTTTGCGCAGTGTGTAAGGGGGGAGTCGTCCCTCAGGTGCTGATTGGCCGACAGACTCCGTCCCTTCACAGCAGCAGGCAGGCGCCCCTCTTCTTGTGCTTGCGGACCTGCAGCGCCGCCCTGGTGGCCATCTCAAACACCTCCCGCACGCCGTCCTTGGTCTTCGCCGAGCACTCCAGGTAGCCGAAGGCACTGATGCGGTTCGCCATGTCTCTGCCCTCCTCAGACTTAACGGGCTCCTGGAGGGTCAATATACAGGCAGTGGGTTAAAATGATGCTGTGGACATTCAACAAGGAGATTGTTTGTTTTGGGAAATGGTTGAATGTACCTTAAAGGTGACCTATCATGCAAAATGCACTTTTGTACGTCTTGTATACATGAATATGTGCCCCCGGTGTTCCAGGGAACTCACCAGACTGCCAAGGCACAC